GCTTTATCATACAATAAACCTATATATTCATTTGAACTGCCTGGACTCCTGATTTCCTGCATTTGATAAAACTTCACTTGATGCTGTAAAACGGGTCAGTTCAAAGGTTCCTAATAGCTGAAAAGTAGTTAACAAGCAATTAAGTATGCAAACACAGTGACCTTTTTTGAAGGTGCTAATAGTGATGTGGGGGTGGGGGTGGGGGTGGGGGGTATTTCCTTGTCTCCCAGAGCTCTAAACCTGCTGGGCACCACTTTTTTAGCCATAATGGTTCAACATGGCTTACTGAAACTATCCATCCAGGTTTACAAATGTAGCAATTAAATCTATACAAGTTGATAAGCCAATCTCACACAAGCTTTATTACCACTTCATACTCTATCCATAAAGTCCTTAGCTTAACTTGATTCCCAAGGAATGCAAAAGTCAAGCTTCAAGCATTTTAGCTCTCATGTGGTCTTCTGAACACACACTTGTTAATAAATAATAGTAAAATATTTCTAGGAAGGAGTTGGCTTCGGCAAGAATCAAGCTCTTTGTGTGGCTGTCATTACAACATGATTCTGCTGCTCCTATTTTGATTGGATACAGAAGGGAATTTCAACAAGTGCAATTTTTCTCAAATCTGTATTATAACTCTGTTCTTAACAATAACATGAACACGTTTACGTTAGGTTTTTTTTTTAACTTGCTCAAAATGTTTCGAAGTATGGAAGCAATGAGAAACTTTTACATCCTCCTTTTTTTCCATTTTGCAGCTTCTGTCCTCTCCCTTTGAGTCTTCTTTAACTTGCAGTTTCTGGTTCTGGAAACTAGTTCTGGAGAATACTAAGTGGAGGAAAGAATGGCGAAAGTGGCAAAAAGTAGTAGAACTTCAATTGCATGTTTACCACTGTCATCTTGACTCTTATTTAACCCACTGCCCTAGTGGTACCCTTAGCTGAATCCTTGCTTCAGTTGCCTGAAAAAGTCTAGTGAAATGATTAATCTCTGTATCTATGGAGATTCTGAGTAATCCAGGTCATAGTTGTGTTTTTTCAAGAGGCAGCTGGACTTTCTGGTTTTCTTTGAAGACATTTCGCTTCTCATCCAAGAAGCTTCTTCAGCCATGTCAGTCTCCATGACCTGGATGACTCAGAATCTCAATAGATATTTAATTATGCATTCATCTCTGTATATTTAAAACTTTCTAGGGAACCTCAAGTGATAAGGAGAGGTTGGGAGATTGCTTACATGTGCTCCTGACAGTTTCTCTTCATATAAACCCATAGAATAGTGATTTTTTATGAGTTAGAGTATCAGACAGGATTCACCATGTTGCTCACAACCACAGTGGAGTCTTTTAAAGGGCATTAAGTTCACAATCCTCACTTTCTAATCACTTTCAGAAATTGCTACTTAACTTCAATACTTCTAAGCAGTTAGACACCTTTGGAACAAGTTTCAAAATGCCTGGTGAGTCATCCTGTATGAAAGAAAAAAAATATTCATGATCTTAAGAAGTTAAAAAATCTGAAATAGTAAAAAACCGAATACGTTATGATCTTAGAAGATTATAAATGGATTAAGAGTGTAGCGGAATTTGGAATATCGAAACTTTTACAATATTTGAAATAATATATTTTACAATATTTGAAATAATGTAGAAAGAACAAACATTTTCTTGTGGGAAATAGATCTGTTTTGGTTTTTGGAAAACCAAAAATTTGCATAAAATAGCAGAGATAAATAATTTTATGATTTAAAAATTGGATACTCCAGGAAACTATTTAGATAATGGAGAAAAAAATGGAAACCTATAAAATGTGAAATGCTATAGCACTCCACAGCACTGAAAATATTGAAGAAGACATTTCAAGAATGGAGAAATTAGTATGCACAATATCAACAATGTCTGTACTGATGTCTGCGTCTGTGGATAAATTATAGAAATTATAAACATTGAACAAATTTTATTTGACAAGATAGTGATTGTATCAAAAGAAGATACCGGAAGGTCAAGAGAATGTCTTAGAAAAGGATTCTTCATTGGATCTATAAAATAAATTGGATTTCATGGATTTGCCTATAGATAAGACATGCAATATGGAATAATTGTTTGTAACCTTAGAGCGGGTAAAGAATTACTACATTTGTGTATACCGTACTTGTGACAAAAGTTGTAAGTCACTTCCTTATATAGTTCTTTCCTCATTCTTCATCATATTTGTCAGAATATTTGTCATTATGATTACGTGTGCTTTTGCCTCAGACCTTGCTTAATATCAAGGCTGCTTCGCTCAGTAACCAAGAAAGAAACCACTCAACTCCATTTTGCAGAATTAAGAGTACTTTTACTGGTCATGAGTAGATAGCAGCTAAGCAAAGCAAGATCTGAGGCAAAAGCGCGGGTAATCATAGATATCAATATGTGACCCAACTCCCTCCCCCTCGTAACCCCATCCCATAGTCCAATCTGCACATCCCTCAGGTGTCATGTGGGTGTCATCTTCAAAAAGCATAATCAGGTTGGTATGCCGGACAGTTGGCCTTGGCGGCAAATCCACTATCTGCAGCATGCGCAGTAAATGGCGAGAACAACTCTCTTTATACAATCACTCCTGTACTGAAAACTTCCCCTCCCAAATACCATGCCTCCCGCTCCACGTTTCAATGGCAGCAGAAAGCAAGTAGCGAAGCAGAGGCTGACAATATTTTTGTATATTTACACTGATTCTTTTTTTTCTTCTCCCTTTTTCTTTTTCCTTGTAACATTTATCTTTTATTTTTATTACTTTTGTACTGAATTTTATTAGGATCAGAATTCTTAATAAGATTATTTATCCACATCTCTGCATGCTAAAAATTATCCCAGCCTAAAACTATAACTAAGTTATTAGCTTTTGAATATGCTTTCATACAATTACCAGATGATAATGCTAAGCCAATCAAATTTCTTTTAGAAAAATAGCTACCAGTACCTGAGAAATTGCAATACATTGCAGCTCTACGGAAATGTGTTTTTGTTTTTTGTTTTTTTGTTTTAAATGAAAGATAAGCACACAAACAAAGTGAGACTACTGCTAATTATCTGGTTGTGGACCCTTGAAATGCTTTTTAATCATCTTTTCATCCTGTTCTCTTTATGGAATATTAGCAAATTTAAAAAAAATAACACAATACTTGCTCCCTTGTTAGGCATCAACTGTTCCTCCAGTTGGAAGGATAGGGGAGGGGATCCTGCTTTCCTCACCCCAGTCACTAAGGTAGCAAGCAGGAAAATATTGTTTTAGTCAGATTCATGCATAATAGGAACAAGGGCATGCTACATGAGCTTCATGTAGGAGTATAGGAGTTTAAATAGGAGTTTAAAAAGGCATATAAACATCCAATTAGTTTTTCTTTTCATCAGGTCCCTTGCCCTTATTTTTTTTTTAAAGATGGATTTAATTTTTAAAAGGTGAAATTGAGACTTGTTCAACTCAAACTCCTTTCTGTCTGCAGCATTGTTAATTGACACGATCTGTTTTTTTACAAGCATTCCTTCAGGTCCCACACAGAGCTCCTAGGCTCTGAAAAACAAAGGACTAGTAACCACAATTCTTTTGTTCCCTTGAAAAATGGGGGCAGGAACTAATTACAGGTAGTCCTCAACGTAGGACAATTGGGACGAGAATTTCAATTGCCAAGCAGCTGTTAAGTAAATTGCACCTGATTTAATGAGCTTTGTGCTAGGTTTGTTAAGGAAATCACTGCAGCTATTAGGCGATTTGTGTAGTTGTTCAGTAGAGCTGGCGTCCCCCATTGACTTGGCTTGCCAGAAACCAGCGAGGAAGCTGGTTGCAATCGGGTGACCCCACGATGCTGTAACCATAAATGCAAGCTTTTTGCCATGTGCCCAAATTTTGATCACATGATCATGAGGATGCTGAAAATGGTCGTAAGTGTGAGGCTCAGTTGGAAGTCACTTTTTTCAATGCTTTTGTAACTTTGAATGGTTGCTAATTGAATAGTTGTAGGTCTATTTACCAACTTAGTTGTAAATCTGGGATGGTTGAAAGCAGACCAGAGGGAAATCTCCCATTTGCCTTTCAGTAAATAGGGCAGGGATGGCTAACCTTTTTGCCATCGCGTGCCAAAAGCGGAGGGAACAGGGGGTGGCGTGTGCATGCCCACACCCATAATTCTATGTGCCCTCCCCGCACATACATGTGCAACCCGAGGCATATGTGTGCGACACCCCCCCCCCCATGTTCCCCCTGCTTTTGGCACGTGATGGCACGGTGGACCCGTTTTTCACCCTCCCCAGGCTCCAGAGCCTTTCTAGGAGCCTGGGGAGAGTAAAAACGGCCTTCTCCACCCCCTCTGGAGGACCATCAGAGGCCGAAAACAGCCTGTTTCCTGACTTCTGGTGGGCCCACAGTAGCTGTCCGGCGTGCACATGCGCCGGAGTTGAGCTTACGTGTTTACTGATATGGCTCTGTGTGCCATTTGTGGCACATGTGCCATAAGTTCACCTTCATGGAAATAGGGGCTTTGCAGGAATCATGAACTGTGTTGCAAAGAAGTGTTGACTACACGAAAGCAGCAAATCAATAGACAGAAAATTATTTGCTTCCACCTAGTGATTGCCTTTATTTTAACACCCCAAAGAATTTCTCTGCTTCAGCAACTTACATTGTGTGCCTCTGGACAGCAGGATTCTGGGATGTGAAGTTTAGACATCTTAAAAGTTGCTGAGGTTGAGAAAAACTAACAGATCATCTAACTGATCTTTCCAGGCCCAAAACTTTGCCAACTCTTCAGTGTTATAGGGATGATTTTGCTTTTGACTCAGATCTGAACTGTTCCTTGCCCTGACCACTTTATTGATTAGGCCAAAGGTTACATTTACCCCTCCATTCCAGCTAAACTGAGGGCTGGGAGGCTTTTTATCAGTGTGTACATATTAGTGGGGAGTGCTATATTTTAGCAGCCTTTTAATTTAGTCCTTTGGCGACTATCTCCTGTTCTCTCCCCAGGATCTACCATGCGGAGCTTTTTATGTCTTCTTTTCCTGTTCAAAATTCTAGTCCCTAGTTTTGCTGCCTCCCTCCATAGACAACTTGACCAGGAACAGATTGAAGAAGGTAAAAGAAACTGGGAATAGGGGGTTTGTTATCCAAATTTAGTGGCAGATTTATGGAGAAGTATGCTTGCATGCTCTGCAAATGGAATATTAGAAGATGTTAAGACTAGGCAATAGAGTACAAGAACAATATTTTAGACTCAGAGACAAAATGTTTTGTTTTGTTTTGTTTTTGAAGCCATGGGGACATTCAAGTAACTCCTACTTACAGAATCCAAATGTCTCTTTTCCCAGGATTGTGTGATAGCTATAGAAGGTGGCCATACAGTGCTAGAAAAAGACAAAGGTGTTTTATAGGGTGGACATCTCAAAGCACCTTTTCCCTTAAATTCACATCCGGACTACAGAAATGCTAGCTAATTTTCTCCAGTCTCTTTTAATATAATTCAGATTATGTAACACTGCAACAAACAAACAAAAGCTCAGTCAGTTTTCTATTTTAACTTCCAAGTATTCCCAGGTAATATAACCCAACATCCATTTTCCTAGATGCAAATGCTCCTGAAAAACAGGGGCCATGAATGGTAGAAGCCTTCACTAAACCAATTTTATAAAAAGACCTTTAGATATGGGTTCTCTTTCTTTTAAAAAAAAATAATTGTATTAAAGATTATAATAGAAAAGGAAGGGGGAGGGAGGAAAACTGGTGTTCCTGAATGTTGAAGCAAAATAGCAATCCTGTAAAGTCATTTAACTAAAGAGATCATCATTCAAGTTGCCCAATGATGATTTCTTTAGTTGCCCAAAGTTGCCCAATATTCCTGGTTCAGTATTCTAAAGAGAAGGGTGTGCAATCTGCAAACTAATATTGCCTGCAGCCCTTGAAACCTGGCATATGGAGTTATGGGTTTGGTCCTAATTTCTAATCTCTTAAGAGATTGATTCAGGGTTTTAAGGAGAGTAGGTTGCTCTTATCTGCAATAGGTTGGCAAAAAGGGGAGGAAGTTAGAAAACTAGGGAAGGGAGGAAGAGGGGTAGAAAGAAGATGAATTTCTTCATTTTTACATCTGTATGGCTTCGACCTGCCTGTCATAGCAACCCAAGGTTGCCTGACCTGGGAAGACCATTTGAAAACCATCTCATCTCATACTTTCCCATGCATCTTCTATCTGGGGCAAGACACATGCTTTAAGCTATTTTCTTCCCAATTGCTACATATATGCCATTCTGATTGGACTTCAGAGCCACAACAGGGAAACTGTGGCAATCTCATCCCTGGGCATCAGTCTGACAATCTTTCTGGAGGATTTGTTTAAACATCTTTATGAAGCAGTGCTTTTTGGCATAATGAAGTGGGCAGACCATGGATCAGGAAGGCACCACTTTTCAATCTGCTATTTGACTTGTCCTACCTCTCAAACTCACTGTTTTGTTTTATGTAATAATGCATAATTATTACATTAAAAAAAAATCCTCCCTTAATGAGGTAATTCGGGCCAGAATTTCCATCAATAAGTATTGCAGTCATAAAGCATGACATCATGTGATTCTGCCATTTAGCAATGGATAGTTCCAGCAATTCTAATTGTTGAAGTTAAGTGAATATGATAAAAGTTGTTAAGCAAGAACCTCACATGACTGCAACTTCTGACTTCCTACCAGCAGAGAATGTCACAAATCATGATCACAAGACCACTGAGGTGCTGTGATAGCCATAACTTCGAAGAACGGTGGTAACTACCACTCAGCACTTTGCAATCTCAAACTGTCACTGAATGAATGAATATTAAACAAGGATCACCTGTACTTGTCCTCATTTTGTGATTGCCTTGTTTAGTGATTGCTTGCAGTAACAATGGTGGTAGAAAAAGTAACTTTACCAACAATCTTCACATTTAGAATCTTTGCAAATCTGTGAAACAAAGGAAAGTTGAAGTAAGATTGTAAGCACAGTCACAGTTTTATTCAGCGCTGCTTCACTTAACTGTTGTGTTGCTGGTCACAGTTGCTAAACAAAGATTGCCTATAGAGCTATCTATTCTCATGAGGCTTTTGAACTATGGTGCTGGAGAAGACTTCTGCAAGTCCCTTGGATTGCAAGGTGATCAAACTGGTCAGTCCTAGAGGAGATCAACCCTGACTGCTCTTTAGAAGGCCAGTTCCTGAAGATGAAAGTCAAATACTTTGGCCACCTAATGAGAAGGAAGGTCTCACGAGAAGCGCCTAATGCTGGGAATGATTGAGGGCAAAGAAGAAAGGGATGATAGAGAATGACGTGGCTGGATGGAGTCACCGAAGCATTAGGCGTGAGCTTAAATGGACTCTGGAAGATACTAGAAGACAGGAAGGCCTGGAGGAATGTTGTCCATGGGGTCACAATGAGTTGGACACAACTTTGCAACTAACAGCAACAATCTTCTATCATAGGTTAATCTGTTGTTTCTCACAGAAAAAAAGTTCGCTAATCTTTGCTCCACTTTCTATATCATCTGGCCTCTTCTGCTTTAAACATGTAATGTAGCTAAAACCAGCAAGACATTGCACTCAATAACTGCCACAGTATAAGCTGTCTGCACTTCTCCTCACAATGCTAATGATCCATCCACTTCCCAAATAACCAACAATTAGTGCTTCTCAGAGACCTGCAGAACCACATTCCATATGTGGCAGGGAATGCAGAGTGGGGGGGGGGGACGCCATGCCTTCCCACAAAGAGCAAATAATAAGCTTTTGAGTGGTTTGACGCTCTTTCTTAAAGGGAAGGCTTGGGATTGTGACTGGGTAAATTACAAAGACTTATTCATAGTGTTTATGATGGGATCATCTGGAAAGATCTGATAATAGAGGAAGGAATAGAATCTTATAGGCAGAATAGTCACCACAGGTTCTCTCCCAAACTCCCCCAAATCTCCAGTCTGATTACATATGAATGGTGTTACCACAAATTTATTTTATTTAGAACTGCTGCTTGTACCAAAGTCAAACTGGCGCCAACCCATCCTCTCTTCTTTCTTGTACAAGATTGTTCTCTTCCAACAATGAAACCAAACTTCAGTACTATTAGTAGGAGAGTGGTGTTCTCCAGATTTCAGGATTGTGAGATGGGCTGGTGGAACTGTTTTCCAGCAGAGTAAAATGGCTGGAGAGTAGGAGAAAGGGTAAAACAGCTGCTGCTGATCCAACAACAGATGTTGCCTCAAAAACAGGGGTAGATTGTCTGCAGGGCTCATGTGATTTCCAGTCCACTTTGTTGGATGACCTCTGCTCCCTCCTCCCCAAATAAAATTATGCAGCCAAATTTTGTTGGCACTCCAGTGAAAATCTCTGGTGTGGTTTCCTGTCATTTTTTTTTCAGGAAAACTGCAAAACTGATGCCTAAGCTTCATTTAAACTTAATAGCTCAAAAATATTCTGTAAATCCTGTTGGGAATAAAAAGTAACATAAATGTCACTTCTCACTGTGGCACTTGGTTGCTAAAAAAAAAAAAGCATTTCCTTGAAGAAATGTAACTTCTGGCAAAACAAAGTTTACCCATTGTTATAGTGTCTTAGCAGTATAGCTCAGGGATGTCAAACTCGTGGCGTCACATTGTCACGTGATATATCATAACTCCCCCCCCTTGCTAAACCAAAAATTGGCATGGCCAACATGTAACATATTTGGCCCACAGGCCATGAGTTTGACACCCCTGGTATAGCTGGTCCTTCTGAAATTCTGCATTTCTTTACTTCTACTCATGTTAAAGTAAAAGTAAAGGGAATAGGATGGAAATAAAGTCTTTCTGTCATAAGTCAAGACTGCTAGATGGCATATAGTAGTTCTTGGGTTTTTTTGCTTCCTTTATTTAACAGGCATCTAGTTCTGCAGCATAACAATATAGTATAATGTTTGTCAACCTTGGCAGCTTGAAGATTTATGGATTTCAACTCCCAGATTTCTGGGAGAATTGAGGAATTCTGGGAGATGAAGTGCATCTTCAATACTGCTGTAGAACGATGTTTGCAACCTGGGCAGCTTCCAGACTTGCTTGGACTTCAACTCCTAGAATTCTCAGCCATTGCCCTGCCAGCAGGGAGTTCTGACTTTTGAAGCCTATACATCTGAAAGTTGTCCAGGTCCAGGGGCATTGCTCTAGATCTTATACGCTTTCCTTGAGAACCAAGAGATATTGTTCACAGAACTTCGTGCCTGCTCTGAATGTCAGGGTAATGTCTGTTGGTTCCTGTTCCCAGTGTTCTTGGATGCCACGTCTGCAAAGAAATTCTTGAGCCGTAAGATTCTTTATAACCACTGGGATTTTGAGCTGATTGTGCGTGATAACTTGGAGCGTGAATGCATAGAAGAAGTTTGCAGCTATGAAGAAGCTCGGGAAGTCTTCGAAGACGACATAAAAACAGCTGAGTATGGGGAACTGGGTGGGCTTAGGGTGGCCACTTAAATGTCATAATGTCATAAAAAGAGGGCATGCCCCCGCAAAACATTTATTTATTTATTTATTTATTTATTTGTTTATTTATTTATTTATTTATTTATGTAGTGTACTTGCTACTCCATTTCAAAAAGACTCTGAACAGTTTACAGTAAAACAGAAAGCATTAAAAGAAAAATAAACTAATTAAATTCCTCAAATGATTGACGTCTAGCTACTGACACACCAAAGCAAACATTACTAACAATAAATGTTCCCTTCGGTGAGTGAACTCTCTGCATGATCTCCCTGAGCTATAGTAACATTGGTGTTGACCTGATCTTGGATGGAGCATTGCTCCAAAAGTTGTATAAATATGACACACTAAAGGAAATGTAACATACCTTGTATTAAAAGGAAGGGAGTAACCAAAGATCCTGTTATTAGACATCTTTACGCTCTTCGTTTTTCTCCTTTTTTTATTTTTAAATTGGAGACTCCATTAGAGAATGCAGGTTTTCAAATGGAGGGCAATCCTTTATAAACTTGAAGAAATGGCCAGCTTAGCCTATAAGCATAGTAATCTATAAAGTGGAGTTTTCCCCAAAGGATACTCTTTATATATGCGTACTTCAATGTCCAGAATTCTCAGTAATGGCCATGCTAGCTGGGGAATTCTGGAATTTGAAGTCTACAATCTACAAATGGCCAAGTTTGGGAATTTTTTCTTTAAAGTACTATATTGCGATTTTCAAGCTATCTGATGTTGCACTTTTGACTCTGTGTCACACTAGTAACTATCCTCTTGATTTAGGGTAGGCAAAACTAGTCATCTCTAGCCTACTCCTCTCTGGGTCTACTAAAGTACAATTTTCAGAACCTCCGTTCAGTAGAGCACATTTGACAGGTACCAGATTGGAAACACTGAATTTAGGTACAGTGAATATCTTTGGTCCAAAAAGCATCATTTTCTTATTTTACAAAATATATCTATTCTAAAATGTAGATATTTTCCTCAGACATAATTTAACCGAAATAATAAATGAAATATGGATGTGAGGTTTGAATACAAATTTGGTTAATGGTTATTTGTTAATCATAATTGGAAATCCTGTACTGAACTGGGCTTACAAAGCATCTATTGTCCTAACTATGATTTTACATAATGTCTAAATGGACAAAGATAAAGTGGTTATAGCTGATCTGTGACCCTAAGTGTGTTGCACAACAGTGTTAAATTATGAGCTTATAAAGCTGAATCATGAGAGAAGATGGAAAGTTACTGTAGACAAATCATTCTAAGTCATGGTTTCAATAGTAAATCATAACGAACATAATCATGGTCAGATGTATGAACTGTACAGTAACTCTTTCAGCTTCTTAAATTTTAAATGTCTAAACATTTAAAGTTTGGTGGGGATTTTAGTATTCTTGAGTTTGGTAGTTTTCTGACAGATGCTTTATTATCAAGATAGGTAACATCATCATTGTTTCAAATATCAGGTTTCAAATATCAAATTTAAAGCTTTTTCTCTATTCCATACATTTGCTGAGCAAAAAGTAATATTTATAGGCATATATATGCCAATGGTCACTATCCAAATTCTCTTCAATATCCTGTTGAATATTCTGTTGAACAGGAGTGCTGATTTACCACTTGCTTATCAAATACTTAGGGGGCAAGAGCTTGGCAGCAGAAGCAAACCGTGGCACGACAAAACCGCGCTCGACTAAAGCGCGCCCGATTAAACCGCGTCGCTGACGTCATCAACAGGAAGACAACAGCGAGCGCGGAGAAAGAAGGGCGCTTTAAATAGCGCTTTGAAAGGAAGCCGATTCAAGTTAAGGTAAGGGTTAGGTTTAGGGTTAGGGTTAGGGTTAGGGTTAGGTTAAGGGTTAGGTTTAGGGTTAGGGTTAGGGTTAGGTTAAGGGTTAGGGTTAGGGTTAGGTTTAGGATTTGGTTTAGGGGGGTTAGGTTTAGGTTTAGGGGTTAATTTTAGGTTTAGCGTTTACAGCGTGCTTCTGTCTCCGTGCTGTTGTCGCCCTGTGATGACGTCAGCTACGCGGTTTCGTCGAGCGCCCTTTAGTCGAATGTGGTTTTGTGGTGGAACCGAAGCAAACAACAACAAAGGACTTTTAATAGCCAGCATCAACACCCCACTCAACATCTAAACATACAACAGGGACCATATAAATATTACATACAGAACAGCCTGAAGTACACACTTTGCTAGAGAGAAGTTCCCTGAAGATGGACTCCAGTATAAGTTTGAAAGCTCAGAAGGAAAAAAACTGCTGGTCCCAGTGACTGACCACGATTGGATCCTGCAACATTATCCTGTATTTGCCTTCATTCGTATTGCATATACCGTTGCATCAGATGTAACAATCATGTCAACGGTCATAGATCACGGTTTAGGATTATAAAAAATGAGCTTCAACACTCTTTCCTTGGGCTTGAATGCAAAGAAAATTTTGGTAATTTCTACTTGCATTTCAGATTAATACCACTTAGTACTTTGTCATTTGATCCTTAAATACAAGTTAATCATTACTGTGCTTTATTGAAACAAGTCAGCTTCAGAATTTGTAGCTTTATAGAGTTGGCCATTTTAAGGATTACTGTGCTCTGTCAGGTTCAGATTACATTGCAAATTTCTGTTCCTTTAACAAAGAAGCCTTCAATTCTTCTTTCTGATTGTATGATAATAGAGAATAAACCAGCAGGTGCATACAGAGATGGTTAACCACAGTTTATCACTATTTCTGGTTGTCCCGTTAAAGTTCCAAAGCTGCAAAGTAATTTAGTTCAGCCTTCCCCAACCTTTCCAGGTCAGTGGACCAGCAGAGATGGCAGTGGTAGGATGGTTTCATGCAGGGGTGGGCTGCTGCGCATTACTGCCAGTTCAGAGAGCAAAAAAATGTGTGCAATGCACGTGCGCATTTGCACCTAAAAAGGTATGTGCATGGGCGAAACAAAAAAATGGGGGGATTACATTTCTGCAATGAAAATTGTTCTGTGCATACGCAGAACCAAAAATCAAGAGAGTCCCGCCATAGGAGAACCTGTTCAGGGGTGTGGCAGGCCTGGGTTGCTGCCGGTTCCAGCAACCCAGGCCACCAAGTTACTATGAGTTCAGCCAAACTGGTAGGAACCCACCTCTGGTTTCACGTTTGTGTTCATGCCAAACACCCATGCACTCTCCATCACTTTCACGGCCTTGTTCCAAATGGGCTGTGGTCCAGAAAAGGGACACAGACCGGGGGTTGAGGACCACTGAATTAGTTGACTGAGTCAGACCCCCTTGTCAGATTTTTGTGGAAAATTCAGAAGAGATTTATTGTGTAAACCACCAACAAGGTCTTGATTGAGATCTTGACTGATCATTCCTAAACTGTGCCAGAGAAATCTCTGGCTTGAAAAGAGGGGAAATGAAGCCGGCATGAAGAGAAAATTCCCAATATAGCAAAGCAGGGAAACAAGTTTGTTTGTTAAGTCCAGATTGTTTTGCATGAATCAGGTCATATGTGTGTCAGCATACAAGGAGAACAGTTTGAGTGGAGTTTTTGAAGTTTCTAGAATGCTGTCTGCATATCTCGATTTTATTTATCTTGTTTTAATAGGTTGGTGCTTTGCTTAAAATATAATGGATAAGTAAATAAAGTTTCACAAAACACAGCAGGTAGTTTCATCCATCCGAGTATCTCTTTACTAAACAGTTTAACATAAAATGTGGACTTAGTTATTAGATTATTCTTCCTAGTGGAAAATGTACAATTCACTGACCTCTTTCTGACTAAACAAGCTGCTATATTGGGAGTTTTCCATTCATGCCTATGTATGTTACTCCACACCAGCCTCTCTATCTTCTCTTCAAATCTTTTTACCTTTTTGAAAACTGGTATTTGTGGAGACTCACCATTTCACTAATAAAGGATATTCTCATTCAGTCTTCCCCATCCAGCAAGTGCTTTATATCAACATAATCTGGTGGGAACTGGACAAAGTGTTTTTTTTCCTAGGGACAGAGACTGACAGTATATAATTTGCCTCAAATTAACTAACTCTGACTCTTTCAAGGCCAGCTTTCCAGGCCATTTTAGTCTCCAGGGAAATTCCAGTGCATGCAAACATGGATTTGAATGCACTCTGATTGGCCCCTAAAGAGCTAATGCGTCCAATAAAAAATATTTGAAGCTAATGTGCTGGTTTACTTTAATTTTATTGTGATGTTAATGTTTGTAAGGTTAATGTTTGTAAACTACTCAGAGTCACCTCTAGAAGAGATGAGTGACACACAAATCTAAGATAGAGATAGATAGACAGACAGACAGACAGATTCATTTTGTGACATTATCTTTGTGAATATGATTAAAATAGTAATAATTATCCTATTGATTGCTTTGTAGTGTTCAATTTTATGCTTTTAACTTAGTAAAATTTATTTTGTACTAACCTGTTCTCAAAAGCAAAGTGCAAGTAGCTAGCAATCATATTGTTGGTCAATAAATAAAAATATTTAAGACATTTAAATTATAACAGGTAATAGGTTAGCAACATGACATTTCCCATGAATTTTTGCAGATGAATATTGATTTAAGTATGGGACTCAGTAGCCACATTAGACTTTTGTGGCAATAGAGGTTATGATTCCTGCCCCAGTATATATATATGGTAATTTAAGAATGTTAGGATGATTATGTATTCCCTATGACTATTATGATCATTATATTTTTCCATTTAAATTTTAATTGACTTGTCAGATCTCAACTGAATTGTCATATTAATGCCATTTTTGTATACAAATGAGCCTTGTCTATCGGAGATAATGATTTATGCATCCAAGCAAATTAGCTGTAGTTCAAGGAACAATAAATCTAATAATTTTAAAGCACAGCTACATAAACAGAACTAATAAGACACATGCAACATGCTTCTTGACCCCCATTTTTCTGTGGATCTTGATTCTGAAATGCAGCACAGCAGAACACGTATGAAAACAAGTGTGAGACATAAAACAGGTTTTAGAATAGATTTAAAATAATAAAAAAAAGGAAATAAACTCTCTCGTCCAATTGAGTGTTATGGATTCATTCATGCATGCATTCAATCTTTATAACAATTTTTATTGCAAGCCGCCCAGAATTGCTTTGCAGAATAATATGGGAAGCATATAAATTTAAATAATAAATCAATAGATAATACTGTTGATGCCTCTAGCCACTTTGATGTAGTGATTAGGTTGCTGGCCTACAAACCAGAATCCTATGAGATCTAGGCCTGCCTTAGGCATGAAAACCAGCTCGGTGACTTTGGGCAGCCATTCTCTCTCAGCTCAACCCACCTCATAAGGTTGTTGTTGTAGGGGAATGTTGATGAGTAATAGCTACCAAAGGATCCCAGTTAACACAGGACTCTGTTTGCTTTTTTCAACAATGCTAGGAACACACACAACTATTCCATATGCTGAGTATTATTTATAAAGAGCATGGGAATCCTTTTGAAAGGTGCATTATTGGAGACATGAGATATATTTCTGCAGTGCGTTCATCTTCATGTACAGGCAGGACAGCTAAGAATGCTGGCACTCGATTTGTATTTATAGGTCAAACAACTCATTAAGATACAGCAATGCAATATCTTATGCTGTCTTTCATGTACGTCAGGTAACATATTTCCTAATTCCTGTGTATAATCACATGGATGATGAAAGTTTAACTCTCATACATTTACAAGACATGGAATTGGATAAGACTGCATTATCAAGAAAATCTTCCAGTCTGCCTATTTATAGTAATTTATACAATTTATATATCTATTGCATTCAACAATATAATTTACTCCATATTCTAGATAGTTTTCAGCACCCGGATAGAGAAGGAATGCCTCTTTGTGGATTTGTATTTATTTACTGAAATAGAGAAGTTGTTTGCCTTTTTTTTAAATGGTCAATTTTTTAACCAAACCGAAAAGTATTTGATTTTCAAACATTTGTGAGTTTATTATAGACTGATTACTGTATGTATTGACTGTTGCAGGTTTTCTTTTCTTATAGGATGGTGCCCTCTAGTGTACTTTGTATGAATTGCAAGTATCAGATTCAAGTTAGGATTCCGGAGAAATCTAGTCCCATGGGATCATAGTAGAGCAATTTTCTTGTGTCCTAAAATAGAGATGTGGTCAGCACTTAGTCTTCTTGAACAGCTGGCCAACCATGCTGCTGATTCTCCCCAATACCATTTTAATTTTCTATATGTCTCTGACTTATTGTCATTATGGGACAGTGTACAATATTTAATAAGGGACGCGGTGGCTCAGTGGCTGAGCTTGCTCAAAAAGATCAGCAGTTTGAATCCCTAGCATCGCATAACAGAGAGAGCTCCTGTTAATTGTCCCAGCTTCTGCCAACCTAGCAGTTCGAAAGCACATGAAAAATGCAAGTAGAAAAATAGGAACCACTTTGGTGGGACGGTACCAGTGGTGGATTCCTACCAGTTCAGACTGATTTGGTGGCCTGGGCCACTGGAACCGGCAGCGATTCAGGCCTGCCACGCCACCGAACCAGTGGCACCATCTTGTTTTTCAGTTCTCCGCATGCGCAGTACATTTTTAATTGCACTGCACATACATGCACAGCACACATCAAGCGCACACACGCGAAGCGCACACACGAGTGAACTGGCAGTACTGCCTGCCAGGACCCACCCCTGGAAGGTAACAGCTTCCCGTGCGCCTTGAGCGTTTAGTCATGACAGCCACATGACCATGGGAACATCTTCGGACAGCGCTGGCTTTTCGGCTTTGAAACAGAGATGGGTGTCGCCCCCTAGAGCCAGGAATGACTAGCACATATGTGCAAAGGGAACCTTTACCTTTACAATATTTAATAGTTGCCAGTAGAGAGAAATTTTCTGAGGATTGGCTCCAGCACAAGTCCAAAAGCTCAGAAGACTAAAGACTCTAGACCTTGTGACCATCCCAGATTGTATCCTGCAATATTATCCTGGGACATCTACCTTTGCTTACATTCGTGGAAGATAGTTAGGTCCAGGTGCCCAAAATAGCATCACCACAGGCAAATAAGATTTAGTTTGCTGTTTTGGAGCTAAAGCTGTGTTTTTCCCCTTTAGCAACCAGGAAGCCATTGTACAAAATTATATCATGGGTACAATAAAACATGCTTCATTCATCATTTGTTAGTGGTGCTATTGGGTGACTCCTAGGCAATGGGATCTGCTCAGCACTGATTAACTGCTTTAGTCTCCTATGAGCATGCCCTCTCCCTCTGGACCCTGGGTGTTGTTGCATTTTGAACAATGGGAATCAGGTTTACTTTTGTTTCTGGACAGCCTGGATCAATGAAACAGCAGTTGATCAGCAGTGGCAGGAGGAAATGTATCCAGCATAAGAGAGGGAAGGATCCTCTGCAAATCCCATCTATCAGCTTATGAACTGTTATTTGTACTGCCAAATGTTCAGGTCGATCCAGGTCTCCAACTCAGGCTTTGGCTGAGAGATGTGAGGCCAACAGTGGTCCTCCTTTCCTGCATTATCTGTTTCCTCTTGCAGTGCCAACATTTCCCAGCTGGGTGAGGTGGCAGGTGAAGGGCAGGTTTGACAGAATGCTGAACTCATAAGTCTGGCCATCTCTCAAAATGATTTTTAAAAAAAACAAAAAAACCCACAGCAGTTCCTACTTCAACTCAGAGCCTAGGCAGTTGGGATTAGCAGTGAGGAGAGCAAAATTTAGGCTGGTTTATTTTCTATCTCACACATAGGATGAGAAACTTTAAGCAAAGAGCCCAAAGTCATTTGTAGAAGATACTGATTACCTTCTACAACAGAAGACAATAAAAGTAACCTTTTTTTTTGTTATGTTTTGTTGGATACTCAGAAACATTTGATACTGTCCAGCAAGTCATTTAGAATCAGGTAACATGAGATAGAACAAACAAACGAACAAATGACTTTTATTATCATGTTAACATTATTCTCCTATTTTGATATTCCCTCCAGATGAATTTTTGGAACAACTATAGAAAAGAAGCAGGTAAGTAAGGCTACAAAAAGGGTACAAAACAGCAATGGGATATTCCATGTATTTGTGCTTTCCAATGTTGCATTATCCTTCTTGAATCAAGTGTTACCTTTATAGGTAACTAATAACTCATAGGGACTTCTAAAATCTTCCAACCACTATTGTGTATTTAATAGTAACAAGGCTGGGCATTCTGCCCCTTCAGCGTTAGTTAGGTGACAAAAGACTTTCCAGTTTCCTGAGGTAATCCCTCCCTGTAATAAGAATTTTGCTGCCCCATTATTGATCCTCATCCTGCCTCTGCTGCCTTTGCTTCAAGTCACCGCAGCCACCTGCCTTCCTTTTGAAGAAATGAATTACAAGGCCTAAAGGTTTTTGTCATGTTCTAAAGCAAAGTTCTCCAACCTTGGCAATTCTAATATTTTAAGCATGGCTGGCTGAGGAATTCTGGGAGTTGAAGTCCACAAGTCTTAAAGATGCCAAATTTGGAATTGCCTGTCTGTTAGTCCTTAGAAACAGTCCAGATAAGAAGTGCAACTATTAATGCTAACTTTATCTTAACAAAATCTTGCACAACAAAGTGTTTCTCTCGTTCTCCCTATTACTCTCCAGATAACTGCCGAGGAACCCTTCTGAAATTATTTTAATTCCTCCTCCTCCTCCTCCTCCTCCTCCTCCTCCTCTTCTTCTTCTTCTTCTTCTTTAGACTGAGAAATTTTTTACATCCAGGTGTCTGTAGCTTTTCCTCCTATTTCCTAAGGTCATTTTCAGATACCATTAAAGCTGCTATTGGATAGCGGCAGCTTAAGCAGGAATAGTGTGGTTTAACTCTTGATATTTAAGTAAGTAGCCTTCAAGGACAAGATGAAAACAGCCTCATGGGAACATGGCAGCATGAAAATGTTGCCACAGGTGTTTATAGTGGATTAGATGCAAATGAGGAAAGGCTGTAAAATTATATAAGATGGCTTTATTGTAGTGTCTTCTAGTATCACCCAAACATTGCTATGCTCAGAAATATCAACAAAAAAGAGTGGCTTTATATTGCTACAGGGATGGCTGGGTGAAACTATTAATTACAAGTCAGAAAGTAGCCTCAGTAGAATGAAAATGCCATGGTTCAGTTCCTGTACCTTCCATTCTCCAAATGCCTCTGAATGAGATCTGTAGCCTCAAGATATGAAAAAGCAATGCTGTTCTAAGGACATTATAGTATTCTACTGTAATGGGCAAACACCTTGCCCTATCATACCTTTTCCTTTCTACAAAGACTTTCTCCTGCTTAATCAAGTAATCCATCCTAAAACTGTATGTTGATGTATGTAATCTGTTCTCCACCTCATTGCATGCCATATACTTATACCAGATCAACCAATTCAGATTGTAATTATTGCAAGTGGGGCACTAATGTGACAGATAATAACTTTTTGTGAATTCTCAGTGATTATCATTAGTGCTTAGGATTAACTGGGTGGGTAAAATTTTGGGGACTACACATTTTTTCACAAGAGAAAACTGCATTGAAAGGTAGTGAGGAAAGCGTGTGAGACATTCACAAGCTGAGCCAAGATTCTCCATTTCTCCAGGATGCTTCCTTTCCTTTTTAAAACCAGTTTAAAGATATTTGAGGACACATATTCCAGTTTCCATGTATTTCCAGACCAAGAAAACCAAAATCGCTGATTTTCAACACTGGTGCACCTACAATTTGGCAACGTGATTAAAGGGGGCTTTGGGATCTCAAAAAGTATGGAGGACTTACCCTTGAGCCGTCCTTATATCCAGACTGTCTGACAAATTTGACCTGGAGCTAAAGCTTTTGTTCCAGGTTTATTCCAATATCTTGTGATCCAGACCTTTACCCCAAGATTCCCCAGTTCCAAGAGGCAAGCCCTAATATAGCATGGATGTTAGAATTAGGATCTCCTGTTGTTTTAAGCAACAAGAGTCACAGTAACCCTTCCTGTCTACCTGTTTTCATAGGAAATCCTGGAATAGATGTGGCAGGCCTGGTGGCTGGCCTGATTGCAGCTTTGGTGGCTATTGTCATGTTTATAATTGTGGCCATGTATTGTATCAAATATCGGGCTAAAGAGAGAAATCGATCCAGGTATGTGTCAGGAACCACATGGAGGTGTTTTGCGCCCACCTATGTAATAAAGGAAGTGAAAGGGGAACATAATTCTAGCACTTTGTCACCAAGTAAACATGAGGTCAAAAGCATTTGATTCAGAATTAACATGAGGTCAAAAGCATTTGATTCAGAATTAACATTGGCATCAATGAAAAGAACAACAGTATTATGGGGATTTATATCAGCCTTCTGCAAACACGGCTGACCTCTAGAGGAATTAAACTATAAATCTGATAATTTTTAGCTGCGTGCATATTTTCCAATGTGTATATCTTTTTGAAGTTGATGTTTTTACACAGTTGTTAAAAATACATCATTGAACTACAGTTTCCAGCATCTCCAGCCTACAGAAATCTTTCATGGATATTAAGCAAAATGATTTTTTTTTAAATTGATAGTTTTCTCAACTTTTTTCCTGTAGTGTGAGTTACTGGACTAAAATTCCCTTAATTTCCAAACAGCCCGTATGCTTTCTAAACAGCTGGTGAAAAGTTTGCTAATTTTTTGTTTTGATTAAGTTAGGCTTACAGACAAAAAGCCTGTGAATTTTTTTAGGGTTGTTGTTTTGTTTTACCTCCATCTCCATTTCCTTTTAGAAGAACGCAGGAAAATTTGAATCCAGGGATTCCCCTTACCTGCTTTGATGATGAGCCCAAGCCAGAATCTGCACCTGGGCTTCCTTCTTATGAGCAAGCAATGGCAGCTTCAGGGGTGCACGATGCGCCACCCCCACCTTACAACAGGTAGAATTATCATTGGGATCCTATCTCAAAATTCCAACATTATCTAGGGATTGGGAACTGGATATAGAGAGAAAGGAAGGTTTGAGACTCAGGCTGTCTAAAGACAATAAAGATCAAGATCCTATCTGAACTGAATCTTGGAAAACCTTTTCAAGGAAAGAGCATTGGATTATGCAGAAAGCCTTATTCCCATGGAAAATCTGCATAAACCTGCAACAGACCAAAGACCTTTGTTCCCAAGAGGAAAGGCAGTACTGGAGTTGACAGGAAGTTCAGAATCACCAACAGAGCTCATGTTAGCCTCCAATGCGGGGGTGGGAAACTGCAGATGTTGAACTTCCAGGAATCTTCATCCCTATCTCTGCTGGCTGGAGCTGATGGGAGTTGTAATTTAGCAACATCAAAAAACGCATGTGAATAGGGGTGAAGACACAGGTTTCCTTTCCCTTCTATGTGTCTCTAGAGAACTGGCAGAAAAAAAATGCCATTACATTCATTCACTCTACTACTTCATTCTACAGTCAGAAAAAGACAATAGTTTTAAAATTACCAATTCTCCCCACTCCCAAGCCCAGGCAATGTGTGTATAATAACCTCCATCTCTTCTAGACTTCTGCTCATTAGCAATTTTGCTTTGATCCATTAACAGGTAGCTTCTTGCTCCTGTTTCAGTTTCTGCACCATTTATGGATCATGGATTCTGTCCAGAGCTCCACAAAGCTAAAGGACAAAAGAATTTGCTACTTTTTTTTAGCAACACTTTTTTCCCCAGAACATACCTCCTAGGATCATTGGGGAAATCCATATACACTTCCCAGAGCCCCTTGCAGGTAGAAAACAAATATGAAGCAATTAAAAGTGACATGAATGCCAGGCTGTTACCATAGTATGAAACGGCAGCAGAAAATGTAACTTTCATCTGCCATTGGCTCTGGCTGCTAAATTGAAAGTTGAAAAAAACTTTTATTATTTGTCTGGATGTGGATATACACATGCATACATGAAAATAACAGCAGCATCCTTTTCTTTAATTAGCACTATAAAATTGGTGGGGGTCATAAAAATTGTAGGCGGATATGCACCATAGGGGTAGGATATCAAAAGTAATAATTGGGTGTTGCTTTTTACGATCAAATTTTCCAGCATACCTTTTCTTCAGGCAGGATAGCGTTGGTGAGGTTACCTAGCATATTTAAGCTGTTGCTGGATTTCTAGTTCCATATGCTTAAATACTCTGATGGAAGAAATAACCATTTAAATTACTCACAATGTCCTCATTGCAGTGTTACCATGAAATATTGCACATAACTTAAATTAGTATTTGCTGCTACCACCAGTACCAGATCAGCTCAGGATCTTCAACACTGGAGGCACTAGAGACAGATAAGGAGTAAATATAAAGCAAAATGAAGATAACCTTAACCACAATAGTAAACCCACAGATTTTCAATCTTTAATGGTGTTGAAAGTGCAGGAGTGTTAAGCAGATTTAATTAGAGTAGGCCAATCTTTTCCAATCACACATCTTTCAAATGTGTTGCCCTATCATCTTCAGAATTCCCATGCAGCATGCATGTTGGGGTAAGTACAACACAAATATTATATTATGAAGAAGGAGGGAAGCGTTAAGAATTCTCAGTTCTTAAACTTGGCTCTTTCTCCGCAGGACCATGACTAGGGTTGAAATCTGACATATATGACAAAGCAGCAGAGGCTGGCGCTATATTCAGAGTGATCCCTGTGGTTATGAAGGCTAGTCTTGAAGGTGGTTCAACATGCTTGGCATTGATGGATGACTTTATTGCAGTCTATATCTTGCTCAAAAGGAACAGATGAGTGTGGGGGGGAGGAAGGAGAGGAGCTTTTATATGTAAGGCTTCTGAAGCCTCCAGATAAAATCATAAATCTGAGATTGGAAGCTATGATGAAAGCCTATAGATGATGATAGGAAGAAAAGGAAGAGAAAAATTCTATCAAGGTAGCAATATAGAACAGGCTGCCAAGCCAACAGAAAACACACATTATGGGTTTTTTTTTCTGAAACAGTTGCAAAACTTTCACAGAGACAGTTATTGTATTAATAGGGAATTTTGAACTTCCTCAACATCTGTACGTCTGCAAAGTCTGGAACAGCTCAGTAAAATCCTGACTTCCCGGTCTTTCTGCCTCTCGGAAAATAAAGAACGGAACAAAAGAACCTCATACCCTTGATTTAGTTCTGATCGTTGGGGAACCTACAAGTGAGATACATACATCCAAGCAGTTGAAACAAATGTGAAGTACAATTGTAGATAAACAGAAGTAAAAGGGCAAGGATAGAATGAAACATTGGCTTGGCTGTATGTAAAGGATTTAGGTGTATCAGTAGGTCATAAGATTAAGATGAGCCAGATACAGCTTTTAAAAATTTAATTCTAGGGTGCATTAATCAAAACATAACATTCAACTTGAGAAATGAACCGTTTCATGCAATTTCGCACTGGCTGAACTTTATCTAGCATTGAGTTTAAACTTGGGTACCACATTTTGAGAAGGTCATCAAGGAATTAGATCATACTCAGAGGATGGTGATTCAGGTAGTAAAACTTCTGTGTAAAGAATTGTTGGAAGAACAATGTTGAATCTACAAAATATTAAAAAGAAATATGATAGCAATACTTGATAGACTATCATGAAGAAATGAAGCAGATTTGTCCTCTGCTATTTCAGAATCAATGCCCACTGCAGAGACATTGTAGGCAAGCAGAATTTGACTTAACATTTGTAAAAACTCTGCAGTGGCAAATGCTATTCAGCAGTAGTGCAGTGTGCCATTGCAACTTGTGAGCTATTTCATTGGATGAATTCAAGTGTGGGCTAAAAACTACTCAGATTTATTTCATATGCTGAGTGGAGCAGTGGAGTAGCTGAAAATCTTTTTTGCTTTATACCAGAGGTGGGGAACGAGAGCCCCTTTATGACTTGTAGACTTCAAGTCCCAGAATTCCTGAGCCAGAATTCCCAAACATAATCCTAATGTTTCATCTCTTCACTTTCTCAGGAATATTTTTAATCCAGCTAGTTTTTCTACATTCACCTGCTTCAGTATATGACTCTTTCTTCAATTACCATGTCTTTCTTTTTCTTCAGGAATAGCAATTTGACTCGGCCAACCTGAGTTTTCAACAGCCGGATAAATATTCTTGAAATACCTATTTCATCTTTGCAAAAGACACTATGCACACCCTTGCAACATAGCCAAGGCAGGGAGCACATGTGACTTTGAAGCAGACAATTAATGCATACTGGATATGAAGCTGCAGTATGTGGAGACTGTGTATGAGTGGCAGGTGTGTGCAGAAGAGGATATTGCAACATGTTTTGGTTGAGAAATTAAAATCTAAAATTGCAAATGTACATATTAGGACCGATATCACTAGGTTAATGTGAAAGTGAAATGCTAATTTGCACAGAGTTCCTCCTCCCATTTCCCCCCCTCTTCCATTCATCTTATGAATGAATTTTTTATAACCGTCTTTTCTATCAACATATGATTATGCAAGGATTATATTAAGGATAAATAAAAAATAGTTTTATTTGGAGGTAAACATGACTGATCGTGGCAGACTAATTAATATAATAGGAATTGCAAGCTGGTATAAAAAAAATCTTAAATAGCTCAAGACAGAGATTCAGTTTGGAGAAACTGCTCTGGATTATACAAGCTCAGACTTCTATTCAAGTGCAGAAAGAATAGAGATATTACAAGTTGTCTTCTGTGATTGGCATGCAGTATAAAAAACAGGAATGGCTAGCTTGATGTATTCATTGGCAACATTACATTTTGCCCCTGCTTGTTCCAAAGAATAGTATTTGTTATGGCCACTGACTTAGCAAAATTCATGATCTATTCTAGAGACTGTTCTAAGAGCAGAACATAGAAGAAGCTGACTTAGATCACATCAGGTTATTTGACCATTTGGCCCAGTGTTATTGCTTGACTCACATCTGCTCTCCAGAAGCCTCAGCAGTGAAAGGCTTCTCCCTCCACAGCTGCCTGATCCATTTAAAAATTTGGTCTGGATTAAGTTTGATTTTATTTGTATACAAAGCGGGTTCCCCATTTCTAAGCTCTGTTCCCCTCTTAACCTGAAGACAGACACGCCCACGCACTCTTCAAAACTGGTCCTGAGAATTTTATTAGGGAAGGCAGATTAGCAATGCAAATTGGAGCACAGGTATTTCAAGACAAGTAGGAAATTTAGCCAGAGGTGGAAAACAAGTAAGAAAGTCCTATCAACCACAGAACATAGGTGCACCTCTGCAGTGATGTAAGCATGAAAGAGTGGGAACAAAACATGTTTATAAATACTTCTAAGAGCTATATTGCACAGCTGTCTAGAGCACAAGATGAGAATGAAATGAGAATGATGATGTAGTTGGACAAAAACCCATAAGCACAGATGTTAAATTCATATCTGCCCTGCCTTTCCACTTATTTGTCATGAAATATTGTTTGCGTGGCTATGAGTACAATAGAGAGAACACTCCAACAGAGCTGTAAGGAAGGAGAAGCAGTTTGCTGAGTGTTGGCGAACAATAATGTGACCAATTAAATGAGTAATCTGTGAATCTTTTAACATGATTTCTATGGAAAATAAAATTTTAAAAGCTGTTTTTGATACATCTGAGTGTCCTCATCAGAAGACGTTTTGGTTCATGATTTAATTTGAACAGATTTCATGTATCCATCAGAAGAAGATAGCCACAGGATTCCACATGATACTAGATTGCCAAGACCCAACTGGCATATTGCTTTCGCAATTGCCAAATTTGCTAATCATCTATGTAAAGGGGGCAGGCAAAGTATCTGGCTTTAATCTTTCAATTTCTTTCCCCCAAAACACTATTTTGTGAATTTAGACTATGTTCTTAGCAGCTGTTATTATGGCACTTGTGCCATAATGTGGATTTGTGAAATACATGTACAGGAAACTCCCACTCTTTTATTATTTTGTCATATTTGTGCTTTGACTTATTTACTAATGGAGCATAGTCCCCACCCCCTCATCCTTTTAAGCAGTGTTTCATAATCTCGGCAACTTTAAGATGTGTAAATTTAAATATGCTGTCTGTAGAATTCTGGGAGTTGAAGTCCACTTAATTATTAAGAAACATTGCTTTTAAGCATTATTTCTGTAGTTCCATTTTTGGGAATGGAGGTAAACGCACATTTACCTTAAGGTATTATGGTATTCTAGTTCGTTGTATTACATGTCTCAAATTTAAAAATTTAACTTCAACAGCCAGTTTGGTGTAGTGTTGAAGGTGCTGGTCTAGATACCTGGAGGTTGATCTGACCTTAGGACTGACTGGGGTCTGTCACTCTCTCTCAGGCCAATCCACAGGGTTCTTATGGGAAAAATAGGAGGATTATGTATTCTCATCAGATTGAATTTTTATAAAGTAATAAAAGCAGGATAACTACATAATTAAATAAATCCTGATAACTGACTCATCAAATAAATATGGCGCGTGCATTTATTTTATTTATTTAAAGCATGTATATAGCCACCCATCTTATATTTATCTCTAGGTGACTCCCAATCACACATAACAATTATTGTTTGGCATATAAATATATGCTGCTATTAAAAGCCCCCCTTTCCCAATATCTATATATAAACAAAGGAATTTTCTACATATCCATATCTGACCTTAGGAGCACATCCCTTAGCTTTGTGTTGAAATATAGATCTCTGAAAAAAAATAAGCCCTCCAGTTTTGTCCAACGAAGAGCTTTTCCTTTATTTGAATTCTTTTTTTTCTTTTTTCAGTTTTATGGAATAATTATCATTTCAGCTGTATGGTTTACTTCAATGTAACAAATGCCCCATTTTCATTTATTCTGGCAACTGGGATGTCTTCTATCACGGACCAAATCTGAGAACTCTAATTTACCAGGGAGAACTATAGGGATTTCACTGTGTTCCTGAGTGAATCCCAAATATTTTTTCTATATAGGTGTCTTCCCCAAAATTGGTGCCTTTCAAATATGCTAGAATGGTATTTCAAAGAGTTTCCAGACAATATGACTGTTGTTGGAGGCTTTCTGCAATGATCTCTTAGAAGTAGTTGACTCCTTGTATTCTCCAAAGATTCTCAGCACATAACTCAAAATTCAGTGATTAGTATCAATCAAATAAAGAGCGTAAAAATAGATTTATTTCATCATAAATGTAAATGATGCAGCAAAACCCAAACCAAGTTAAACACAGAAGAGACCATAGGGGGGTGCTGGAGTTCTGTTACATTTTTTTTAGGGCACATACAGAAAGCTGTGTTAAAGTAGTGTTCCTCAGTCAGAACTGATAGATAAGTATGCCAGCATAAATTGCCCTATTGCCATGATTTATTGCCATTCTGCCTGGGCATTGAAGGCAGTGAATGATGCATTTTCTTTCCAAAAGATGGTGGATTACTCTGGCAGAGTTTCCCTTCCTTCAAGCATCGTTGGCCAACAAGGAAAAGCAACAACCTATTGCTCTCCTTAATCTGTAGTGAATGGAGAACACAGAAAGATGCTTAGCATGGCTAGTTTAGTCACATGTCAAGTTGCCCAACTAATGGATCATCCTTTCAAAAGTAATATGTATCTACCTATCATTTGGGCTGCTTCTGAACAGAGGTCTAGTGCTTTTCTGAAAGAATACTAAACACGTGTTCCAAAATTGCCTGGTTGACAAGACACAGGCATGAAAGAGGGTGGAAGGTGAAGTGGGAAGGAGTGATTGAAAACAAGCTCTGTCCATTGGATTTCAAGGATGTAACAATATGGTCACTGCCAGCAGCAACTGTAAGTAGCCCATGGTGTTAGCAAAGTGGCAATGGTCACCTCATCAAATTTTTAAAAAACAGCAATTGTTGTGCCAAACACTTTGTTGAAGTAGTATAAAACATGCAATGTACCCAGTGCAATTGGCAGAAACCAGCTCTCTTTTCTGATTTAAACTGGTGACACACAGAATTAGTGCTCTTTTTTAAAAGAATAATCCTGCTTTTTAATCACAGATCTAGAGATCTTTCAAAATAACATTAAGGAGCCTGCAAAAATTCTCACAAGGGCTTTAGTAAAGGCTTCTCAGGCATTATGCAGACAGATATATCTTCGGAAGCCAAGTAAAACAACCACATTGGATAATACGTAAAGGGATTTGCAGCAGCTTGAATGTCCAATAAGAGTTTGGTAAATCTCAGCTCTAATCCATTATCATCAGCCACATAAGTGAAATGTGCTAAATTGCACTCACAAAAATTTTGGAGGAAGAGGGATAACACTACTCTAAAACTGGAATGCCTAAATATGATGTAAATCTGATCAAAGCTGTGGACTGAAAGGAGACAAACGTATAAGGATAGTTAGTGAAGGTTCACCCACAAAACCGCGCCTGACTAAACCGCGTCACTGACGTCATCAACAGGGCGACAACAGCACGGAGACAGAAGCACGCTGTAAACCCTAAACCTAAAATTAACCCCTCTAAACCTAAACCTAACCCCCCTAAACCTAATCCTAAACCTAACCCTAACCCTTAACCTAATCCTAAACCTAACCCTAACCCTTAACCTAACCCTAAACCTAACCCTAACCCTTAACCTAACCCTAAACCTAACCCTAACCCTTAACCTAACCCTAAACCTAATCCTAACCCTTAACCTAACCCTAACCCTAACCCTTAACCTAACCTTAAACCTAACCTTAACCCTTAACCTACCCCTAAACCTAACCCTAACCCTAACCCTTACCTTAAGTTGAATCAGCTTGCTTTCAAAGCGTTATTTAAAGCGCCTTTCTTTCTCCGCGCTGGCTGTTGTCGCCCTGTTGATGACATCAGCGACGCGGTTTAATCGGGCGCGGTTTAGTCAAGCGCTGTTTTGATGGGTCACGGTTAGTGAAGCATGTTGATATAGCTGAGGCGACAAGAAGAAGAGGCCTTGGACTCAAACTTGTGTGATTGGGGCATATTCATTAGAAATCAGAAATATGGAAAACTCGATTGTTTCATTTATTAGCAAATAAATAAATAAATAAATAATGATTATTAGCATACTAATATATCCAATCTCACACTTTGATTTTACTGCATTCTGATTGTCTGTGTTTCGGTTTGTTTTGTTTATACATACTGAAGGAAAGAAACAACACTCATACATTGTTCTAAACCATTGTGTGATTTATTTGTGGCTTATCTTGACACATGAAGCCAGCCAATATATAAGAAAATCTCCATCTCCAACAACAAGCAACCTCAGACATGCTAATTTTCTGGAGAATTAAGGGAAAGAATTTCCAATAGTTCATTTTTTACTCTAAATGGATATCAATTAATAATGTTATCTTAAAGCATAGGCCATGGAGTGATGAATAGGGAAATACTATCCACAAGACTTTTTTCAGAAGAGGATCCATGGTGACCTTGGTGAGTAAGATATTTAAAGGAATCCTCCTTTTCTAGCCAGGTGCTAACATCGTAACAAGATTTTCAAGTTACAAATGAAAAACTAAATGTAGAAGCACCGCATCCCTTGCTTGCCATTCCATTGACCACTGCAGCCTAAAAAGCACATTTCACATTGATGACCTGGGAAGAAGTGAACAGTACATGAATTTGAATCCAGAAGGCATGTTCCCTGTGTGATATTAGCAAATAGGCCTACAGAAAATGCTACAACATTGGGAGAAGGAAAAACTCCTAAACCACATCACCTAATCCCTTTGCTAACAAGCTTAACTATTCAAATATCCATTCACACAACCACCCTGTACATCTGGTGCAGTGGTGGGTCTCAAATGTTTTTAGAACCTCTTCTATAGGTGTGGCCTGCTTTGTGGGAGTGGCTTGCTGGCCATGTGGCTGGGGGTGGGAGGGGCTTAACAGTCTTGTGACTGGGTGGGTGTGGTCAACTTGTAAAATGTGGTGAAACTCACTTAACAACGCTCTTGCTTAGCAACCAAAATGTTGGCTC